TAACTTTGCTGCGATATCTCTATTTCGATCAGACAAACAGATAAAACGTAGCTACGCGAGGTCGTGATTTGAGATTTCGCGTGATATCTATCTATTACTTATTTATCTATTCTCTATTACTCTATTTATCTATACTTATTTATCTATTCTCTATTACTCTATTATTTATTTTTTAAGTTTCGTGTTTTTTTAGGTTTTGCTTTTTTAGGTTTCGTTTTTTAAGTTTAGCTTTTTAGGTTTCGTTTTTCAAGTTTCGCGTTTGTTTTGTTTCTCAGTTAGGTTTCACGGATAGGTTACGTTAGGTTAGATCTCGCGCGTAGGATCTGCGCATGGGTCCTGCGCGTGGGTTCTGCGCGTGTGTTCTGCGCATAGATTTTCGCAGCTAGGTTTCGCGTTTACATTTGCGTTCAGGTTTCGCGTCTTTTTTTAGTTCTCGTCTTTTTTTGGTTCTCGCCTTTTTTTAGTTTTATTTTTTTTTTAGGTTTTGTTTTTTAAGTTTCGTTTTTTTAGATTTCATGTATAAACAAGAATATTATAATCTCCTTAGAAGATATGACACAATATATAATATAATATTTAGAAAATATGAATTCTTAAAATTATTTTTTAAATAATACTTTTTCTTAAGTTTTACTTGAAAGATTTATAGCTACGTTTTTAGCTATATTATTTTTTTAATCGTAATAATTTTTATTTTCTTCCAGATGTCAAAATTCATGGAAAAATAGATTTAACAATTTAGATCGTTCTTTCATTCAATGACTCGTTTTTCGCAACTCTCGCAGGATCCTCCGTCGATCCACTGGATCCGTTTTCGTCGCGTTTAATTCGACGCTCGTCATCGTCGCCGAATCATTGAATCAAATGTAATTCGTATGTGTTGTTTAATAATTAGCTCGTTAGAAATGTTAGTCAAGATCACACTGTTGTCATTGTCTCACCGACTCCCACTTTACCCGACAATTCGCCAAACTTTCACTTTCGTTGATAGCATTGATTCGAACGCTATCATCGCTATCAAACTCCTTCTCGGCTTTCGGACGGGAAACACGTCTCTACTTCATCCGGTGATCTTTTCTTCTTTATCCCGACGAGCAACGAGATCTCCGTGGCGAATTTTTTATTTCGCCAACTGCCGACCGACTTTTCAAGATAATTATTACAATATAATCTTAATATATAAAATTATATATATAAATTATATATAAAAAAGATATATAATTTCGATTTATATAATTAATATAATATTCGGTTGATTATTTATTTATTTTTATATTTTATTATATTTTATTATATTTATATTTTACTATTTATGAACATTCATTTTATTTATTGTATTTGTATATGAATTTTAGAGCAGGTGTCTCTCGGGTTTTACGCGCGACATGTCGCTGATCGTGTTCCGCGTAAGAGCGGATAATTAAGCACCGACATGCCCCGACGAACGTATCCTCGGAGGACGCGCGTATCCAAAACTCGCGGACAACATGTACGCCATCGTCGTCGCCGCCGCCACTCTCTTCTTAATCCACGCGATACCGTATATGGCAACTATAAATAAGATAACTTGCGAAACAAGAGCCTTGTACGGGTGAAAAACATTCCGAAATCGGGTGAAAGCGCCTCGGTCAAGCGAGCCGCCGCTCTACGGTGTTATTTTCCCTACGCGGATTTCTTCGCCCGAACCTGTGTGTGCGGTTTGACAGCAAAGCCGCGTGCATTATAATTTCACAAACGAGCGAGTCCACGCGCACGTTTGCAGAGAGCGAATCTGAGTTAATTACAGTGCGCCACGGATCGATCGGTCATAAAATAGAAGAAGAAGACGAGAATTAAAGGAAAAATAAACTCGATCGTGTTCGTCGCGTGTGTTTCGGTCTTCTCATGTCTCGGCATGACGTCCGTCGTCGCGTTGTCAGCTTTATTTGATACGTTCGCCGGCAACGTTTTGCGGAATTAAGGACGAAAGTTTCGCAGTGCTTACGATGAAACACCTTTCTTCCTCCGCGAGAACGGGCGCTTCTCAATCTCGCGACTCGCCGAAGTCGCGAAGTCGCGTTCGCCGCCTCGATTTGCCTTCTGTTCTTTCAGATAAGATAAACTCCGACAGATAAACACGCACGTGCACGTACTATGTAAAATGCTAATTGCTACATCGAGAGACAAGTTTGATTACAAATTATGGATATTATTCAAATATCAATTATTCAAATAGGAACGAATCTTCGGAAAAGTAATTTGACTCGTGTAATTGATCTTCTGTCACATGTAAACCTATTCTGTAACTTTTAATGACAGTATCGTTGTCGTTACATTATCGTTGTGCAGGTGTAGTAGCAAAACTACGTCGACTATGTAACGACAACATTGTCGTTAAAAGTTACAGAACAGGCCTACTGGGAACCAGACGAAACCTCGATTACACGAACAAACAAATTCCTGCGAGAGATTTCAATTTTCCTTTAGTTATCTCAGCCGAGTTTCAACGCAGCCGAATGCCTAGACGAATGTTTCAGTCGCGACAACAGAGATATCGTTTCTCGTCACCGAATTTTCGTTTCAATTCTGTTACGTGAACCGATTTATTTTTTTCATATTTTGCTTATTTTTTACTACTAAACGGGGGGGGACAGTTCATTTTCTCTTTTTTCCCCGAAGCGAATGATAAACTACTTCCTCTCGCGTAATCGAACTTCAAGAGAAGAAAGGAAGAGAGAGAGAGAAAGAGAGAAACGCGTTTAGCTGTTATATTTTTGTTATTTCTATTACAAGCCCGTTTTATAGTTCCGGCGGCACCGTTTCGTCCCGGCCGATCGTTTCCCGACGTGAGCTGCTTTCGAAAGGATCGTTGGAGCGCGGTGCTCGCGCTCATTGCCTCCTCAGCTTCCTGACCGCAGCGCGCGATTTTGCAAGGACGGAAGTCCTGTGGGAAAATCACGCGGCTGGGCGGCGATTACGAAATCTGCGGAGGAGCACTGTTAATGAGCGCGTTTCGCAATCACGGCTTCGCCGAAATCGTTGTCGAGGTTGCTTGCGCAACGCATCCGCGTTCTGCCGAACGCCGCAGGATCTTACGCGAAAGAGGACGATCGGAATATCTCGCTCTTTTGAAGGCTGTTGAGTCTCTCTCTCTCTCTTTTTCGCGGCTGTGATTCTCATTTGAAACGTCCTTTAAAGCGGCTCGGCGCACGTGAGAAAGATCGCAAGAAAGACGAAGATTACGCACGACCGCTAGATTATAGCGGACGTATTTGGTCGGCGCCGTCTGCATCGTGTAACGTGAATGCCACGTACCGTATTTATTAAAAGGCGAATCGTGCGTTAACGCTCGACAAGGCCGAGAGTGAGAGAAAAAGAGAGACAGAGAGGGAGAGAGAGAGAGAGAACCGTTTCGAGATCTGCACTATTCACTGCTCGGCCTCCTTCGCGTCCTTGAGCGGGGGAGGGGAGGGGGGCAAGAGGGGAGGAGAGAAAGAGGATTATAATAATCGAGCTTTTATCTCATTTGGACGGCTGCAGGATCTTATCGTGAATGATGAAGAAGAAACGGTCGTGTCGCTTTGTCTTTATCGGACGCGCTCCGTTGACACTTGATAAATTCTCGAAGGAAAAACGGGACAGTGTTCGCCAATAGTGATTTGTGGAGTGCTCTAGGTCATCGGCGACTAATAATAGAACGGGGGTCACGGCGAGAGCGTTCCTTCCCTAATCATGAGACAGAGTCTTCAGGAAAATCCCACGATTCCGCTCGAAATTCACTCGGATCGTTCACCTTTTATTCAAGTACCTGCGTTAAAAAAAAAAAGAGCTCGTGAAAATAGTCGAGACAACGATTTGACGATACTGAAAACAGCGATGATCCGACTTGACATGTCCGCTATCACGCGTCATACACATGTGATTTTCGCCGATTTCAACGAGAGACCGACGTCATATACGGGTTTTTCATTCTATATTCACATAAAAAAGCGAATCTATTTTACGCTATTATGGGAAGAAGTGAGAAAAATATAGGATTATCTGTGGTGGATGGTTTCTCAGATAAACGGTGGTGGCGATCGTGAAAAAATGGACGCACAAAAAATAGTCTTACATCAAGAATATATATTCTCATATACAAGCAAGAATATTATAATCTCCTTAGAAGACTTTTTTTTTTAGTCTTGAATTAAATCCAAGTAATACTTGTATCAATAAAACACCTCATATAAATTCAATCAAGACTAAAAGTCTTCTAAGAAGATTAACTTTTTTCCCGCGCATACACCGAGCGAGCGAACGGTAAATGTAACACATTCGCGTCTAAACGCGCACGAGCCTTCTTCGGTAAATTACCTTAGGCACCGAGGAAATCAGTACGAAACATTTTGTTTGAATTCATTCTGGTACAGGTACACGGTTCCCAAATTATACGCGACACAAATTCGCACAGTTCGCCGTTCGTTCCTTGTTCGTTTGCTCGATCGCTGCAGCCAGCTTTAATCAAATCCCACACTTATTTCGCGCTGTTTCGTCGAACGTGTCTCGTGCCTAACGCACCGTTTGGCACATCATCATCAATCCCCGCTCGTGAATCTCATCACGCCTCGCGGATAACCTGGTCAGACGTTCCTCTCCAGCCGCGTCGATAAACGACACGCCGGGCGAAAACGTCTCTCCGCAACAACTACGCGCTCGAGATTGATTTCCTACGACCGAGCTGATCTTTTCTCGCGCCTGACCACCGTGTTGGTTCTTCTTCGTCGTCGTCGTGGTCTCTTCACCCGTTAGTAGAGCGCGAAGGTTATAATTAATGTCGACGATCAAACGCCGAAGAGTCGGCTCGTTAGAACGGCGATTCGCGGCTGCGAGCAAATCGCGTTAGCAAATTCGATCGACGCGCGCGCGCGCCGTCGTTGCGGTATCGCGCTTGACGTTTTCCTCGATTGTGCTGCCGCGTGCCTGCTTTTCTTGCGTCTTGCACGACCGGGAATGTCAATGATAATGTTTCCTTGTTACAGATATGGCACAAGCAGTGTTTCAAGTGTCAGGGCTGCGGAATGACCCTGAACATGCGGACGTACAAGGGTTTCAACAAACAGCCGTACTGCGAGGCGTAAGTGAAACATAAACCTTCTTAGCTTGATCTCCCTTCCACGTGTCCATCTCTTTCTCTTTCTCTCTCTTTATCTCCATCTCCTCCTTCCTCGTTCTCCGTGACGAAACCCGCGTTCCACTTTATCGCAGAAAGAAAGTCGACACGCGAAAATCGCTGTTGGCGTTGTAACCGCCGAATTGTTTATCGCGTTCTTCATCGTGCGCGACAAACCGTCTCTTACGCAACCGTACTTTAGCCGCAGTAACTTAACACTCTCTCGAGAGACTGCAATTATCTGAAAAAGAGCGCGACGAAGCGAATAAGAGGAAAAGAGAGAGGGAGAGATACACGAGCCAGTCGGAGAGTTGGGTTGAGAAAATCCACGTTCTCGCGCCGTGTTCCTTGTACGTGCACAGTTTTGCAGTTATTTTCGCGATGTTTTAGGCCGTCTCGACACGTTGACCGATCACGAGAAAACTCGTGCTAATCGAACGTTGCTCCTGGCAGCGTATTACACTCAAAAGGAAAGCATTAGGATATATTTCGGAACAGTTTACGCCAAGTTCCATCTTGATAAATTGCAAAATATAAATCTTAATAATTACGAATGTAAATGTTAATAATTATAAGAAATAGATCTTAATAATTACAAACATAAATCTCAAATCATTCCCTTTTATTTAAATGCCTGTATTTTAGCAAAAAAAAAAAAATAAACGGCGTAAGAATTCCAACGTAATCGCACTTTAATCATGGATTTCAAACATTCCCGGGCAATCTTCGATTTTCCTCGATTCGTGTCGCAATCTCTTGCCTTCTCCGCCTCGGCGAAGTTAATTTCACGATATTGCCCCACCTTACCGCGTGCGCTGCGGGCCCGCCACGGCCGCGTTAGAGGATCATAAATGTCTTCCTCGCGTAGCTCGAGGGAGTTAGGCGCAACACGCCGAGTGTTTGTTCAGGGTTCATTAAACGCGCGATTCGCGCTGCGCCGCGGGATCGCAACGACGCTCATAAGAGAAGCGAGAACATTGATACAGGCGACATTAAACTGCATACATGCGCCTCTCGTGACGACTAACGTGCGTTTAACATGCGTGTGCATGTAATAATAACGCGACGTTTAATATCCGGTAAACAACGAAGCAGCCGAGGAGGAGGACTCCGCCGCGAGAAGAGCGTGAAAGCTGGAATAGCAACTCGCTCGCTCGCAGGATTACGAATCTCGGGTAGTTAAACGCATGCCAGGCGTGTCGACGCGGCGAAAGCGAGCGGTCCTGCGGTCGGGATAATGCACGGCTGTCGCTCCGCGACCGGCCGACGGAGGATCCCTCCTTCGGAGCGCGCGCAAGGACTTTTAAACGCTTCCCGGCGCGTCCTTTCCACGTCGCCGGTAGCGCAACACTCCGCATAAAAGCTGACGTTTACGCGTCCCTGCTCTCTCGATCGAGAGAGAGAGAGAGGAACGAGGAGATAACCCGTTCTCTCTCTCTCCGTTCAGCCAGAATAAATATTATTTTCCAAGCTTCCTTCAGGGAATTCTTTCAGAGAATTGCGCGCGTTTCTTCGTCCGAACGTTCAAAGTGGACCACGACAAAGCGTGTGACGGCGCATTTGTACGCGTATATATGCGTGCGTGAGCGCACGCACGCGTCGTCGTCGTCCACGTGCGTACGTATCGCGGGACGCCAGGTTCGTTCTCTGTTTGCTCATTCCTCGCCACGACGCTGCTCGTCCCCGAAGTCCGCGACATGCCGGATCTGCAAATTCCCCTCGTACCGCCGGGTACTTTGACACGTTGAATACCGTGACGGTGAGCGCGCGTCTCATTGAGTTACGTTTCATAAAGTCATTTAATCAAGTAAGTTAGTTGCATCTGAAGACTCCAGACGAGTGATTAACATTCGGGCTCCGGGAAATCGCTTGTACGTTTCCAACAGAAAGAGAGAGAGAGAGAGAGAGAGCCAGTGAAACGTTCAAATGAAACATAAGCGCGTTTCGAGTCACACTTATTCACCGCATCTTTCATAATTTCAGACATGTTAGCCTCAGCTAATGTTAGTCCTAGAACCATTCCGTGTGATTTCACTATTTCGTCCATCCGTCCACCCGTCCGGTCTTATATGGACCCCATTAGAAGGATATGTAATTTCGCGTGTCATGTCTTGCCGTCATATCTTGTGATTTCTTCTCCCCGTCAATCGGTAAATTGAAACGACCAATGATATTAACGATACGTCACTGACAAGATTTCGCTCTTATTTATAATTGTAAGATATAACTAAACATTACACGTCTTTATCTTGCATTGTTAATTTAGATTATTTCGTGTCTTTTTCTTCTATATTTTTTGTTTTGTCTTTTTCTTTTCTAAAAGCGTCCTTGCCCGTGAAAATAAGTACATATAGTTACATCATCAATTAATTTATACAAATAGTTACATCATCGATTAATTTCTTGTAAAACCGAAATCCGGAAATCAGCGTGACAATCAATCGTGTTAACCGTGTGTGCTCTTCGCTCATTCGAGGTAATTTCCATTTCTGGTTAGTTAAGAACGCATTCGAAATTGGCGAATAAGACCTCATGAGATTGAATTAGAATCGACTAATGATTAATCATCGGTGAAACCAGTTTCATCGTCGTCTTCGTCGCCGTTGCCGGGATACTTCCCGGCGTTTTTCGCAACACGTCGATTTCACGTAACTTGACGTAACGACATGTAACGCTCTCGCGATCCGGAAGGGCTGCAATTTCGATTCCAATTAGCGTTATATCGTGTGTGCGCGCGGAACGGAGCGTGATTCGTGCTCCGACGTGATTAACTCGCCCCGCCCGTAATGAGTAACACACTGGCCGCCGTTTATTTCGCGCGGTACGTGGACATGCGCGGAGGCATCATCGGCCGATCATCGTCGCGGATATTAACGAGGATGACTGGGAAATTTCCCGTCTCGCTGACAGTCGCGCTTCTATTTGTTATTGCTCTCTCTCTCCCTCCCTCTCTTTCTCTCTCTTTCCCTCTCTTTCTTTCTTCCTCTTCCTCTCTTCGCTGAAACCGCTAATGATTACATAGCTCGATCCTTTCGCTTCGTGATTGGAAATGACGCGAAATTGGAACGGGAAATTGCGATGCACGAATTTCGAGCGGAATCCGTGCGGAAATTTCGACATGTGAAAATCTGGCGAGACAAGTCGAGTAAGAACGAAGTTCGAACTGTCGGCGACACCAGATAACGTTATCTTAATTAGAATAACAAGTGTCGAAACGTTAGTCCGCGTTGGTGAGCACAGTTTCGTGGTAATTAGATTCGTCGTCGGGTGGCACGACGAAATTAACTCGAAGTTGTGGTTAATTTTTGTGACCCGGACGGAGATCAATTGCCCTCGTTTTTTTACTACCGGCGCAATTGGAGAGCCGAGGGGGAAGCGTGTGAGTTTTCTAACGCTTTCCTGTGATGACCTCCGGACAATTTCTCTATCAAGTTAATTACCACGCCGACAGATGCGTGATTCCTCATCGGCCTTATTCGTCGAGTAAACGGATAACAATTTTAGATTAAAGTGACAGGAAACACTTTGCGATTTTACCGTCCTGAAACGTGAAATATATGATGCTTTATCCGTCGATTAAAAAGATAACGGTTTTGGATTAAAATCCGAGATAATAGGATGTGTTTTCCGTGGACGGGATTAAAAAGATAAGAATTTTAGACGAAAATTCGAAATGACAGAAGGCGTTTCGCGCGACCTTTCCGTGAGTATAACGTGAAGTTCGATTAGGCGACACGGCGAGGTGACGGATTCCGCTCGGCCGCGACTCCTTCCGCCCGTGAATCCTCGTAATTCGATTTGCCGTTGACGACAATCGCACGTGGTAGCACCGCGGCTTCTCGCCGCCGCGTGCCTTCGTTGTCTCCTCGTGTCGGTATGCAACGTTGCAGAAAGAAAAAAGGGAGAGAGAGAAAGAGAGATGCGTCCGTGACTCGTACAGTATTCCGTTGTGCATCGCGATGACGAAATCCCCGAGAGCCGCGATTTGAATCCGCACATTTCTCTTACGCCTTACAGGGTCTTCTCCTCCGCGCCTACGTGGCGCGCGCGCGTTCGCGTAATATGCCGCGTAATGACGAATAATTCGCTCTCTTCGGGATCTTCTTTTCTTCCTTTTCTTCTTCCCGGAGAGAAAGCGTCACGCGATACACGCGAAGAGAAAAATCGCGACGCTCGATCGGGCGGAAAGATTGATCCGATCGATACAATAATTGTTACGCACGTGTGAAGCCTGTTGAAAAAAAAAAGAGAGAAAAAAACGTCGGTATCACAACTTGGAATTATACGGAATTGACGTGAAATGTTTTACGCGTAGAAATATATTCAAATAATTCCCGTGGCTCGCATTTCTCGGTACTTTTATTACGAATGCGTGCTATTCGTACACTTCAATTACCGATCATACGACTAACTATAAAATATACGTTGCGAACGTGAGTCGTTAGATTTGCGACGAGAAATCGTCCGATCGCGGAGATATGAGCTCTCTGCGCGGTTATAATTCGCTTCCCGTCGGCCGTTTTCCTTTTTCCAGGTCCTCACCCCCCCGCGCGCGATCTTTTGTATTTTATCGCTTAGAAAGTCGGCTGCGCTCGACGCGAAGGACGCATTTATTATCTGTCTGCCCCCTCTCCCCGCGGCATTTGTCTCGGGTTCTCGCGAAATCAATCAGGGGGAAACGGGCACAGAGTGTACGCGAGGAGTCAACGACGCGATCGCGGATAATGTCATCGGGAGTTTCGTATTCCGCGACAGTAACCGGCTGTGTGTGTCAGCAATGCGTGTCGAATCAGACGATGCACTGAATAAGCAAAGCGGAACACGCATGGCTCTCTGTGTGTGTGTGTGTGTGTGTGTGTGAGAAAGAGAGCCGTGAGATTCATTCATTCGTCTGGGTGTCTCCCTCTTGTCCTTCCCGCCTGTCTTCTTCCGTACACCAGAACTTTATCTCTCTTGTTCGTTAT